AACAAAGCAAAACAATTCTTTATAGAACTTAAAAGCAACCTTTATGCTTCTGAAAGAGACAGAACAATGAGATAAGGATACCAACACGAATGTGAAACCTAGTTGGTTTCATAAATTGACCTTTTACACTAATCTAATTGTTTCAAGCAAAGGCACAAAAGATTTTTTTAATTTCAATTGATTCGTGATGTTTTTGGAATAATGACCTTTTACACTAATCTAATTATTTTTTTTTTCTATAAATAGTTGCACAAGGCAAAATACTGTGGGTTAAGAATATTTTTAGCCTGATTTTGCTGTTGTTGTATAGTCTTTTAATTTATAATTTTTTAACGACAATTAATTATAATATTTAAAATTGTTTAATGTCCAGATAATAATTAATTAAGCTAAACACATCATTTTAGAGGACTATAAATTATTCACAATATAAAGCATAACCATTGTTCATCACTGATAAATAGGAGTGATAAATGGAACAAGCTCAAGGCTCAACTCAGTTGGTGAACTGAGTGTGAACCGAGTTGCTAAACAAAATTGCAGCTCGACTTGTCCCACCAGATAGTCATATTTTTTATTTATTTATATCGAAATTGTATATATTTTTTATTAATTAGACTAGTTGGTTCGCGAGCTATTGACAAGTCGACTTGCACACTCACGAGCAAGTTAGCTCCCTTGAGTCGTTAGTGGGACAAGCCGATTAAAGAGCGACTTGCCCCACTTAACATCCCTACTAATAAAGCAAGGATTAACTGCGTTGACTTCCGATTACTAGAAGCACTACAAGCAATTAATCGAAATACTTTGTGAAGTTGAAAAGTAGGGAGTTTTTTTTTTAAATTATTTTATCAAAAGAAGTGATCCATTCATGTGTAGGGATGGCAACGAGGTCGGTATAGGACGAGTCGACTATTCCCATCATCATCCCATCGGATATTTTGGTTACTTTGCCTCATCCACATACTCATTTAAAACGGAACGATGCGGGTTCGGGGCGGGGCGGGGCGGGGCGGGGCGGGGCCCCATTTATTATTTATTTATTTTATTTTATTTTTTGCTTTTATTTTTTTATGTCTTTATTTAGTAAATATTATTAATTTTTTATCAATTTATTAAAAACAACTTATGTTCTCTTAACAAATGATGATAAATTTATTATTTTTGTTTGATCAAATTTTTTATCAATTTATTAAAAACAACTTATGTTCTCTTTAGAAATATGATAAATCTATTATTTTTGTTTGATAAAAATTTAAATTTAAAATTAACTTTAAACGGGATGGGTAGCGGGGCGGGAACTATGATTCCCGTACCCGCCTCATACCCACTTCGGGGCAATGACTCTTGTCCCGTCTCGTCCCATTTACCTGATTAGGCGCGTAATCCCCGTTCCATTCGGGGCGGGGCCCCACGGATTTCGAGTTGAACAAATTTTTTTGTCATCTCTATTCCAGTGAAAAAAAATCAAGGGGAAAAGGAAGTGAAATTAGGGACTCTACCCATTTATCTATATTTGATAAAAAAAAATTGAAATATACTCGTTTTCATATTTTGAAAAATACCGGAAAAATTCAGAAGGTGAGCCCGTGGGCTTATAACCCACTCATGGATCAAAGCCCATAACTGTCGGTGGAACCTCAATTTTCAGATACTCAGATATGAACTCAGAGAAGAAGAAAGTAAAAAACTGAATAATTGTTAAAGATGATCAAGCAACCATTTCAAAACACGTGTGTGGAAAGTAGCAACAAACGTGTTTATTTGTGTTCTGACAATTTTGTTTCCATTTAATTGATTTTTACTTGTTTTTTGTGATTTGATTGTCTGTAATACGATGAGTTTGAGAGTGTTCTTCGTGTACGTTCGTCTGAATTTATTCAATTATGGTGGGCGTGAGTTCTTTTTTCATGAAACAGTAACTGCTATTTTCGCCATACTATCATGTTTTACTGTTCTAAAAATCAGTAGATTTTGATGAAAGTCGATTGAACATGTAGGTGAAAAGTTGATAAAAATTGTGGATTTAATTGTAAATGAGTTTGAAGAGAAATGAGATTTAGAAAACGGGCGCCAAATAGGAGCTCAGTTTTCGCCAAAATCTAATATTAAAAAGATGCCGTAGTGGAGCAAGGGAAAGCAAAAGGATAAGGTGAACAATATGGTACTCTTTGACAAGGCTACCTATGACCAAACTGCTGTCTGAGGCCCCCAAATACATGCTAATCACTCCTTCCGTCCTCTCAGGGTATTGCTTCTTGTTTTTTTTATTTATATTAGACATCATATTTGGTGCAATTGGCAATATTATGGATCCTATTACGATAAATTAAGGGTTGTTCTCCTCGGATTTCAGTTTTGAGTTTTGAATTCATTTTGGATTTTGTATTTTGAAGTGTCCATTTTGAGATTGTTGAAAACGTTTTTTTTGTTATTTTGAAAAATTGTTTTCAAAAATAAAAAAAAAAAGTTTTGGCTTGATTTTAGCTGAAAACAGCCAAAACGGTTTTTTTGGTGTTTTCCGTTTTCTTTGCAAATTTTACGTTTTTGGAAATTCATTCTAAAAATAGGTAAGTAAACGTGTTTTCAGTGTTTTCGAAAACTGAAAATGGTCTGAAAACAACAAGCAAAGAGAACAGGCCTTGTTTGCCTCTGGTTCACCCTGTTGTTTGTTCGAAGTGTGTTTATCCTGTGCTTGTTAATGGCCATGTGTTTAATTGTTTGTTCGAAGTGTGTTTATCCTGTGCGTGGTAATGGCCATGTGTTTATAATACAGGAGTATGGCTTTTGATAAGTCTGTCGGAAGTTAGTGATTGGATAAATGATTCTGTGTTATGGAATTTTTTTTGTCGTGTCCCTTTGCTCTGCAATGACAGATAATGAAAATACATAAAGTATACTCCTGTTGTTTGACAATAAATATCACAACACGTTGCCCATTTTAATTCATTTGTTTTGCTCATGCAATCATCTCAAATTGTTGGTTTAGGTAGTTGTCTTTATTGAAAATGAATTAATGGTCGTGATTTTTCAATAATATATGTAATCTGTATTTGGCGTTTATGTGATGTTGTCTGAAAATAGTCCCTTGCGGCCATGTTTTAAGAGTTCTTGGGCTATGACAGTCTCACCATTAGATGCAGTTTTATCCTCGATGCCATTCTTGATTATCTTTCATCTTTATTAGGATGCTGGTATAACAATTTTTGACTTAGTTTATTGCTACTGAATGGATCACTTGCTAGGAAGGCCGTAAGGGAATTGATGGCTAGACGTTTGATCAGAATGAGCTGATATAAACCCAGGCTACTAACACCCAGGTGCATCTTTTTGCTTCATTTGAGAGCTGGAAATGAATTTTTTTAGGCCTCTGAATTTTTTTTAGCTTTAATAGTCTATTTGATATGGCTTCTATTAGCATTTTTTTAAAAAAATTTATCCCCAGTTTGGTTTTGTTAATTTTTTTTTTTAATATGAGCATGTTTGGTTAAGCTTAAAATCCAATTAAAATTGAAAATGTAGCCGTTATTGAGTCTCACTCGTCTAATAAAAGTCAACAATAAATGCTAGTTTTTCAATTTTAATTTTATTTTAATTTCCATCGAACACGCATATTTTGATAGAAGCTAATGAAATGTGTGGTTGAAATTAATTGTTAACTTTAATTTTGATTTTTATCAATTTTTTTAGCTAAACCAAACAGGGCGTAATTCCGTATACAAAAAAAAATGACTTGCGCTAGGTTATGATCTAAGGAGTCTAAGTTACTCCATGTTTTGCACTACACCGAATTTTGATTTCTCGAATTTGTCATGGAATTTGAGATTTAGCCCCTGTTTGGTTTAGATAAAAAATGATGAAATATGTAGTTGAAAAGTTGTAGATTCCATGAAATGTATGGTTGAAAATAAATTTAGGAGAACGTGAGTTTTAAGAAATGGGGGCCAAACATGGGCTTAGGTTGTTTCCGAAGCATGGTCTTCACAAACCACCTTCCTTGTAAATTCTTCTAAAAATTGAAAACAGGGACAACACAACATGCGTCTTTCCTCATATTAGGAATGGTCATGCTGCTAAAGTTTTCGAAGAGTTTTTCCATTAATTACTGATGCCGTGCTTCAATACGTCTATTGTATGATACAATGTAGTGTTTGCCTCAGTTTGGTGTGCGGGTTGAAAATTAAGGAGAGGATGTAAGTACGAAGAAGAGATGAGATATACAAGATGATAACCTAGAGGCGTAAATGTGAGTGAGCTGTCCAGGCCTGGTATGGTTTGAGCCTGCCTGGGCTGGGTATCGAGTATTTTAAAAGAACTGTAGAGCCATTGGTACTTCTTGGTTGTGGATACATATCAAAGGCAAACCCATCTCACAAATCTCAACCATTTCTTATTCAAATTATAATGTCTGAAGAAACTGAGGAGTGAGAGAAGTAGAGCTTGTGGATACATACAAATACATATTTATGTAGTTGAATGAACTCTGAAGAATCTGAAGTATAAAATGAGTGATTGAGATGATTTGACAGAGATGAAGACTCTACTAGTTGTTTCTAATTCTTACGAATCATAATCAATATTATGAAAGAACTCTTGGGGGCTCTCATGGCCGGGCATGTTTTCTTGTTGCTAATCACAGGAATTATTAGTTGTGTGTTTGCTTCGTTTGGGTCGTTTGGTTCTATGACCACTGGTAATTTTTGGCTTCTCTCAACTCTGCTTATTTTTTAGTTTTAGTATTGAAAAACTAGTTCGATACCTTTTTCGGCTGTGAGATCTTTTTGGCAAGTTTGACCTAGCTCGACATCTTAGACCAGGCCTAGGATGATCCAACTTTACTAACATTTCTGTCATATCTAATGCCTTCATATCTCCTTTTGTTTAAAAATTTTTAAAGACCTTTTAGACCTCAGATGAACATAGATCACTTGGTGGTAGATGAGTACAAAATTGGTCATCCTGAACTTGACCTTTAGCTTCATATGCTCGACCCCTAGCTCATGCAAAACTATCGAGACCTTGGGACCCTCTACCTGAGGTCGCCACTTGAGACTCCCTCATCAATGAAGATACCTAGAGGCATGACTTCGACCTCTGGAAAGGTCTCTCGCAAAAGAAGGACCTATCCCTCGACGTTCTATCAGCTTTGGAGTTCTTGTTGTTGTCTGACTTCTTATTAGATATCTTCCTCTTCTTTTCAACTCAACCTTTTGGCTTGGAAGCTAGAGGAGCTAGCAATCGTAGCATGAGCACGACCATCCTTACACTTAAAAAATCACTTTCCACATTCTGTAACTCATTCATTAACGTAGTCAATGATATTTTCATCTTGCGCAAGTGGTAGTCCAAAGTAAATTGTAAAACATATCAGATAAAAAATTCAACACCCTAGCAATCCAAGTCTTCAAATTCTTCGCCACGTTGAAGTATGCAATCATCTACAACATATGATCATTCACATGTCACTGCATATGATCAGGTCATAAGAGGTCCTTCAGGTGTTCTAATTCTTGTAGGTTTACACCATAAACACTATCAATGCATGTCTTATGTCCTTTATACAAGTTACATTATTGTGTTTATACCCATAACGCTTATATTATCTTTGCTTTAATCGACTTTAGCATGAGTGAAAATGCCACACATCGACTCCTTCCTTTAAGGTACCTGGCTCGAGGTTAGGCCTAGCCCTGTAATCCAAGATGAGCTTGAGGTCAAGCGCACTTCTAGATAATAAGCTCAAGACAAGCTTATCCCAATAGCCAATAGCCTTTAGAAGCATAAAACGAGTTCTTAACACTTTAGTTGAAGGACTCAACTCGAGCTTAAAATCGATTAGATCAAGCCTACTTCTACATAATAAGCCCGGTGTCGAGCCTCTTCAAGTGGATCGAGGTTGAGCCCACCTATCCAAATCATTCTATTTGACGCTCCTTTCCTCGCAGTTCATGGCTACAAATTTTTATAGCAAGGAAGAAAAAGTAAGAATATTAAAAATAAACCTAGGTGATGTGAAGGGTGTGGTCGTGTGGACCAATTTGGTTAAGTACCAACAATGGGTGTGGTCGTGTGGACCAATTTGGGTTAAGTACCAACAAATCACGTGAAGTTTCACATGCTGGTTACCTAAAATAGTAACCAAGCTTATTGTATTAGTTAACTGTTTTGTCAATTAGCGTTTGTTTGGTTAATCTTAAAATCTTCAAATAAATTTTGCTGTCTCCGCTCACAATACTGAGCCGTTCATCAGTCAATGATTAATAAACATATATTAAATATAAATCACTCCAACTGTCAAGTGTCATGAGCTTTTATCTGACACGTGTACGGTCAAAAATATCTTCAACTGTTGATAAGTTGTCGCCATTTAAAAGTACAAATACGAACACATCACCATCAAATTCTTGGACGTTTCTTAAAATTTTTAAGCAAAATGTTTATTATTCCCTCTTATATATTTCCATCCATCACTTGCATTATCTTTATGTCTTAAAATGCTCTTTGAATTATTACAATTTTCACATGAGATGTTTAGAGATGTACAATGACCATTTTATATATGGACATTGTTGAACCTGATGTATTTGACAAATTATCGTAACCCTTTATTTCAAATAATCTAATGGCACCTGTATCCTACCTCCTCTCCACCCTTTGCGTGTATTCAACGGGGTTAAAACAACTGTAATATCTCTAATATTACACGAGTATGACATATTAGTAGAAATATATATATATATACACACAACCCTAATTAAAAAAAAAAGCTAAAATTTCGTTGATTATATTATTGGGTGATCTTTAGTATTGTATACTAAACATGATACTAGTTTCGACTGATATCTATTATAAACATACTAGTTTGTGCGTGCAAAGTTAACTATTTGTCAAAGCTTTTGATATATATTTTAAAAATTTTTGATAAAAAATTGATGAAAATTTTGTGGTTGGAAAAGTAGATAAAAATTGGAAGTTATATGAAATACATAATTAAAGTTAATTGTTAATTTTGACTTTCAACAAATTTCTAAACTATACCAAACATGCACTAAACCATTTCGCATGTTAAATGTATAAAATAGTATACTATTTCAAAGGAGTTTTTTTTTAAAATAATAATAAAAAAAGAATTTTAGAATAGTGAATTTTTTGCAGAATGTGCAGTTAAAAAGTAGAAAAATTTAAATTTATTTATAGTATATTTTATTGTGAGTATGTGAGGTTAAAAATAAATTAGATTTTTTTAAAATGATTGTTAAACATTGGCTAAATGCATAAGATGCTCATAAAAACAAATTTAGGTGAACATGAGACTTGAGGGTGACCATCAAATTATTGAGAGGGGGTCCACTTCTGCAAGTTTCATGGGTATCCACTATCATGTGGACAGGGAATGACCCAATAGTGTTGCCTCTTTAATATGAACCGTCCATGCTATATTATAAAAAATCCGAAAACCCCATAGTATACGAGGTACAATCTTTAATTATTGACTTAAAGACAAACTTATTTTTCGATATTGCCTCTAGTCCATCCATCATGAATATGACTCGTAATGGGTTATGTAACGTCCATTTTTGAACCGTGCTACTTGTCCCGCGATCAAATCCCGGAACAACCAGCAAAAGCCTCCATTTTTTTCTCACAGTATAACATTGTTTTAACATGTTACAGGAAAAATCGTCACGATTCTTCATACTTCTAAATAATATCTCGAAATTTGTGTCGATTTCTCGTTGTTTATGATGAAGATAATTCGACTTTTAAGATATGAAACTAATTACTCTGTTAGAAGCTTAAATGGAAAAAAATTAGTTAGACGGTTCAAATTATTTAAATCATATAATCTAGATTTAAATTTTAAATTACGTGCGTGACACCAACGTTTTAACAAACATCCCACTACTTTCTTTAATCTTTGTGGACGAAGAAAAATCAAACGAAAGAATACAATTTCCAAAGCTCTAAAAATTAAGTGAAGTGATGGTCACATTCCAAATTGTGCATATTGTCAAGTGGGGGTGAGGAGACCCTTGATTGAATGAGAAATATCTTTCAATTGGAATTCTACAAAACGACAGCCACTGAAAATGAATGAAGTTTGATTTTTATTTTCCTAGTGTGCATTGAGATACATATAAATAATGTATGTATACCCTCTTATATATAATTATTAAATACAAATGTAAAGGACACGTGTTTGATCTCAAGTGGACCATCTTGTCCACATCCCAAACAAGCCTCGAAACCTGGACGATAGACATCAGCCCATATTTGATTTAATTATAAAAATATAAATCAAAGTCGATAATTAATTTAACCTATATACTTCTAGAATAATGTTATTCACCTCGTGGTTGAGCCCCAGTCTATATGACAATTATATGACATTAAATAATAGACTCAATTAAATGAGTCATGTGACTTTGTATTTAAATGAATCTATCATTTAATGTCATGTAATTGCTACATAAACTGAGGTTAAACTCCAGTGAGGATGAATAACATTAATCATATTTTTAGGATTCACAATTTTTACAATACGTACACTTTTCAACTTCTATCGAAATTTATTGAAAAACTGATTTTTGGTGAGTAATGTGAAGATTTTTTTATTTTCTTTTCGTGTTACCCTTTAAAATGACTTCATGTGTAACAATATAATCAGATTTTACACTATCGAACGAATCACGAGTTGCATGAATAGCAGTAAAGCAGGTCAAGGCTCCATGTATGGTTGTATAAATAGAAGTAAAGCTAGATTTCAAGCTAGATTTCTCGTGAAAGATCACGGGTGGATAAATCTACCACCTTCACTGACATTCATGCATTGTCTCTCCTCATAGCAATTATTCAGTACTGTCGACCGCCACCTTTTGAATCTTCAACATCCAATTTGCCTTTATTCTTCCCTTCACAAGTACTAGGAATTTTAATCAATCAAAATCTTGGGCTTCCTATAATCTTGGCTTTCTAATTCGGTTTCCATAAGATCCCTCCAGGTACTATTTTTCATGTTGTACTTTTTTTCATAGGTAACTTTGAATCTGAGCAATCTGTTAGTTGTAATTTTAATTTATGTCCTCTTTTTTGTAATTCTATACTTTACTTGGTTACTTAATTTATATTTCTTGATCCTCTGCTTTGGTGAAATTACTCCACTTAAATAATAAAACATTCATAATCATCTGATCTTTCTGATAATTTTTTTTGTTAGTTTTGCTGGTGAATCAACGGTGATGGAAACTTGCTGTGCAACATTGAAATCTACAGCCCACTTGACAACAGGAAGGAAAACTGGTTCTGGGTATGGAGAAACTGGGTTTTGGGGTGACAAGATCAGAGGAAGTTTAAATAACCCTAGTTGGGTTAATAATATTGGGAAAATTTTGAATCTTGAGAAGAAGGTGAAGAAAATTAAATCTGGGGTTGCTTTTTCTGTACTCACCAGAGAAAATGATAAAGAAACTCTGGTAAGTCCATCTCATTCAACCTTTTTTTTTCCCTGCAATTTTTGGGTTAATCAAACTCCAATATTTGCCTGAAATCGTGAAAATGACCATCGTCCTCGTCTTGGTTGGGTTGTCGAGAAAAATGGGATTTATCTCTTAATGGCTCATTTGTGAACACCAACCTTGCCAAATCGAATTGCTCAATGAAACTTAAGGAGATCTGATACCATTTTAAGACTAAGTCCATCTTAAAAGAATCGCGTAAAAAAAAAATCATGTGTAATTTTTTTTTTTACGTCATAGCCCGGCATGTAATCAGTCCTAGATCCGTCCCTGGACTTGAACTTATTAAGGAGAGTTGGTTAATATATTAATATTTGATAGACGTGGGATTTATTCCTTAATATTTGATACTAAATGTTTGTTGGAGTGAATTCAGACAGTACCAGCACCAAGAATCGAGAGACCCAGGGCGAATCCAAAGAATGTAGCTGCAATCATTCTGGGAGGAGGCGCCGGGACTCAACTCTTCCCACTTACAAGCAGAGCTGCAATTCCAGCAGTAAGTAAATGTCTCCTTGATCAATTTCTCAATTATTTTGTGGAAAAATTAAACCGGAATCCACTTTGCTTCACGTATTTTCTTGACTACTCTGTTCAACACTAAAACGACCTTGATATGAAGTAAATGAGTCAATTTTTTGATGAATATTTCAATTTCTTGTGTTACACGACCTGCAGGTTCCGGTAGGAGGATGCTATAAGCTGATTGACATCCCAATGAGCAACTGCATTAACAGTGGCATCAACAAGATCTTTGTGCTGACCCAATTCAATTCAGCTTCTCTAAATCGTCACATTTCTCGGACGTATTCTGGAAATGGTGTCAACTTTGGAGATGGATTTGTTGAGGTAGGGACCTCTACGATTATACTTTCTTAAAACTTGACAGTGTAATCCCATAGTGCATGTTTGGTATGTGCTACTCGACAAGATTAGACAATATATCGAACAAGATTTTATATGAGTAGTCTATTAAGATTCTGAACCAATCTAACAGAGTAATTATTCGGTTTCATTTGGTTAATGTAAAATCTATATGTGACACAGGTATTGGCCGCAACTCAAACTGCAGGAGAAACAGGAATGCAATGGTTCCAAGGAACAGCAGATGCTGTTAGGCGATTCATATGGATGTTCGAGGTGCGTATTTGCAGGTTTTAGCATATTTTAGTATTAGATTTAGATTTTAATCAGACCATATTTTAAACTCGATTATTCATGTATTCTTAAATTGGTCATTGAATGTTAGCATTTCATCTGATTCTTGTAGGATGCTAAGGCAAAAGATATCGATAACATATTGATACTATCTGGTGATCATCTCTATAGGATGGATTATATGGACTTTGTGCAGGTATAATAAAATCTTTTATTAGTATTATGTTACACCGGACTTCTGCTATACAAAGTCATCTAACTCTTTGTAATGCCCAAACAGAACCATATTGACCGAAATGCTGACATTACTCTTTCATGTGCACCAGTAGGTGAAAGGTTAGTTGAGATTTCCGGTTCTGACCTCGTAATTTGATACTTCAATGCAATGTTTGTTAGTGAAGTGAAGATGAGATAGTACTCGATAATATTAAAGAGAAACAAGAAGTTAAAATACTGTTTAATAATGTCTACCAAACATGCATTAAATGCTATTTTTCACTAGTATACTTTTGTTTTTTTTAACAATGCGAGTTCAATTTGAATGTTCCGAAATTGATGCGTACAATGTTTCTTAGTTGAAGTTAGGAAATGGACTCCTTAGTTTTTGTACTTTTTTTTTTTTTATTAAAATTTTGTGGATTTCTCATTGCAACTCAAATTTTACTTCTCAGTCGAGCGTCGGATTTTGGGCTGGTGAAAATTGATAGCCGAGGTCGGATTACCCAATTTGCTGAAAAACCCAAAGGCACTGACCTGAAAGCAATGGTATGCTCAAGTGAACTATTCTATTTTTTTTTTTTTCCAAACTAACACGATATTCATTTCTTTATTTCCATCTCTTTTAAGGATAATTTGAGGCTTAGATTATAATTTGATATTCCGAGCTTCAATTATGAACTAAAACCCATTAGAATGTAAATTCAGATCCTTCCAATTCAAATTAAAAACTGTACACGAACACGTTATCAAAAAGTTATAAACATTCAAATGTTGTCTTAATTCTGTGTCTCACTTTACTGCAGCAAGTGGACACCACAATCATAGGATTGTCTCCACAGGATGCTGTACAATCTCCATACATTGCTTCAATGGGAGTATACGCGTTTAGGACAGATGTATTATTGAAGCTCCTGAGGTGGAGATACCCTACATCGAACGACTTTGGATCGGAAATTATACCTTCTGCTGTGAAGGAGGAAAATATGCAAGTAAGAAAGAAAATTCTTACATGTAGTCAGATGTTTCAATTTCTTTCTGTTTCCACGTTTCTCTATTATGTGCCTAAGACGATGCTGTGTTACAGGCGTATATATTCAGAGACTACTGGGAAGACATTGGAACTATAAAATCATTTTATGATGCTAATCTGGCTCTTGCAGACGAGGTGTGATGCTAATGTCCTTTCCGCCTATTGTAATTTCTAAGCTCGTGTATTTTTGAGACATCACGTGCCTTGGCTTGTAGTTATCTCACTTTGGCTAATATTTGTTCTTTTAATGGATGCTTAAAGTGAGTACATTTCTCTACTTGGCAGTTTCCAAAATTTGAGTTTTATGATCCGAAGACGCCTTTCTACACATCTCCGCGCTTTTTACCACCAACAAAGATTGACAGATGCAAGGTAAGGCATAAAAGCCGGTATTTCTAATGAGATTCCATTTTATAATTAAGGTTCTAAAATTTTATTCGTTTTTTCCAGATTAAAGATGCAATAGTTTCACACGGTTGTTTCCTGCGAGAATGCATCATTGAACACTCCATAGTCGGTGAACGCTCTCGACTAGACATTGGCGTTGAATTAAAGGTGATCATATCTTGTTCTCAATTTTTTTTTTCCTTGAAAGGACTTGAAACTTGTTTAATAATCGAACAAATTGCTTTGTTATAGGATTCCTTAATGATGGGGGCTGACTATTACCAAACAGAATCTGAAATTGCATCTCTTCTAGCAGAAGGGAAAGTCCCTATGGGGATTGGAGAAAACACGAAAATCAGGTTTACGGAATAGGGTCTTCAAGATTTATTACTCTCTCTATACGTTAAACAATGGGTTGCTAATGTAAATTTTATGGACCTGTAGGAACTGCATTATTGACAAGAACGTGAAAATAGGAAAAGACGTGATTATCATGAATAAAGATGTAAGTCTAACCATACATTAGTCTTCGATCTCATTTTCTTAGAGAAATGTAGTTTTTTTATCCTAAGCAACACTTACAAGGTTCTTTGACTCTGCAGGGTGTACATGAAGCCGATAGACCAGATGAAGGATTCTACATTCGGTTGGGAATCACTATCATACCAGAGAAGGCTACGATCAACGATGGAACAGTCATATAAGCTAAGCTTGTTCTGTACTTGCTAGCGTTCAAGGAATATACGAACTTGAAATAGTGGCAACTAAGGCCAGCCCGTTCCTGATGGAAATGGTTGAATGAAGTTCGTGCAGGAAAGCTTCGTCCGGTATATGTAAGAGATAATAGTTCTTGAAAAATAATCTGAGACTGCCTCGTATGAGTGCTTCGTTTCCTTGTAGAATAATCTTTTACGCGAATATATATATATAAATAAAAATTCTGATGCATTCCCTTGTAAAGGAATAAGAACTACTGAACTAGACATGTATATAACTTTTTGAGTTGAAGTTGCATCAGATACAATGATTCCGAACTAATTTCTTGCAGCACTTGAAAGACTCGTGTCTATATATGCTCGTTGAAGGATAAATGTCTGATCAAGAAAGTTGAGTAGTGTGTACTGTACTAGACGCGGGTTTTCTTTTTCTTCTCGCATGCTTGTATCCTCGAGGTTCATGCAACCAAAAGTGATACAGGGTATTGTTATCACTTTGCCAAAAAATTATAGCTCATGTTATTAGTATAATCCACTCAAACTTACTCAGAATGAAGCCCAAGAATGCGTCCCAAGCCATTCCCATTGAGCCAACTTCCGTTTAGAGCATGCTTCTGCAATAGGAAGGCTATTCTTCATGTCCAAAATGAGACGTCAAAACAGAGCTTTATTAATCCTATTAAGCATGACAAACGTGTTATGATTATAACAATCTCATGTTTTTGAATGCCTTGAAAAGAGCTCTATGAGCCCTTCAAAAGACGGTCTTAAACCAAATAATATTATTTGTCGTCAATGGTGTTTTTGACGTCAGTCTAGTGGTAGTGCAGTGGACTCACACACTATAAATTGACGATAGTTTTTTTTTTTTTTCCAATAATCATCAATTGAAGTTGAACACGACTGCAATAATACCATTACTCTAAACAATATTATGATGACTTACGAACAAATAGTAGAGAAATTTAATAGATTTGAACTCAAAACTTCATCCATAATGAAATCTAATCACCCTATTCAATTTGGTTATATGAGTCATCCAACTTCAATTTTGCTTACAAATTTGATCTTTCTGTCCACTGTCCGATCAATTTAACTAAAGTACATACTGATTGTATCAAATATAAGATGAGTGACCTAGATGCGATTCTTCTCAAAGTTGAGTGACCAGCAGTGAAATTAACCCAATGATAACAAGAGGAAATTGCAAAAGAATGTCAAACTTCTACTTAGTCATTTGCAAAAATGTCCAAAATTTCTCCAATATCCATTTTAGTGTAATGTAGACCAAAATGCCCTCATTAACAATTTTAAATTCCACAATGAAGACAAAACTATTTATATAATTAAAAATTGTATTGATCAATAATAACTTGACACATGACATATACTATTCATTTTAAAAAGTACTATGTCAATAATGCATTAAATGCTCACTTCTCCATATAAGTGTGTAAATAAAATATTTATGAAATGTCGAGAAATACAATTCAAATGTTAAGAATATTATGAAATTTAGAGAATTTTCATGTTCAAAACGAAATCTCATTTTAAACAAATGGAGTGTTAAATCTCAAGATATACATAGTCCAAATGTCGATAAAAGCTAGGGGTGGGCATGAGTTGGGTTGGGTCGATTTTTGGCTCAACCAAAACTCAACCCAACATGATCAATTTGATCATAATTTAATCCAACATAACCCGTGTAAAGATTGAAACCAAGTTTGGATCGAGTTGGGTCGGGTTGGGATAACTTGTCAACAAAGACTAAAGTAAGCGGATCGGGTTGGACGGATTTATAATTGACACATGACTTATACAATATTTGATCTCCATAGTTGCAATGAACAAAAAAATCTGAATTATTTTGGCACTTCATACTCGAAAATGTTACATGGAAGATTGATAATAAATATTTAAAGTCAATAAATATTTTTGTGTTGAATGTGTATTTGTAATACTATTTTTCGTAAAATGTATTATATCTATCATAACACTTGTAAAGTTCGTAAATATAGTCGTGTTGTGTTGGTCGGGTTTATTCGATTTTTATGAGTTAAATCATAATCCGACCTATCACAATCTGCCTACACAACCAACCCACCACACCCATGTAAAAACAACAAAAAAATCAACCCAAACTGGTCGGGTTGGTTCGGTTTGGGCGGTTTTGAAGGATTCGATCGGGTTTTGCTCACCCCTAATAACAGTTTTTAAAATGTCGAGATCGTCATGAAATGTCAAAAATAACAACTATTAAATACAACTTATCAATAAAAAATAGACTTCAAAAAAAAATTACATTCTACCGAGAATTGTGGAAAACAGTCAACTGAAAATTTGGATATGATTAAATTTTTCGAAATGAAATTATATGATTTTTTTGTGAATTGAAAGCATAAAAATATTTTTTTAGTGTGAATGACTTTTCTACTTCATTTCTTCATTTTTTTTTCCCCAAAATTCTTAGCCAATATCTAATAGATAATAAAAGCAAATGAGTCAATTATGTATTAGCTAGCATTAATGTGGCTTCTCATGGAAGCTACTTGCTCTTCTCGAAATCGAAATTCGTGACAAATCGAAAAAAAAATACTTCATTTTCCATTGAGGGTATAATAAATAATTTGATACCAAATTTGATCATTTTTGCCAGAATATAAAAAATAGGCACTTTTCAATTGACAAATATTAAGGGCCTATTCTTTTTGACGTTTTCGGACCGTTTTCTATTTTCGATTTTTCAAAACAGTGAAAACGCATTCTCTTTTTTATTTTCGAAAACGGGTTGAAAATTTACAAAGAAAATCCAAAACGATAAATTGTCGTTTTGGGTGTTTTCAGTTATAATTTGGCCAAAATTTCCAAAACATGTTTTCGTTATTTTCAACCACCATCACCACACCCGACCACCACTGCACTACCGTGAACACCACTACACCAACGAAACCCACCACTGCATCGCCGCGACCCAACTACAATTGCACCACCACCACAAAAATCGTCGCCAGAAACCCCCACAGCTACAACCAAAATCACGACCCAACCACTGAAAAATTGCCACCAGAAATATCCCCACCGCCATAGTCAAAATTACCACCAGAAAGACCATCATCGCGGCATCGCCCAGCCAAAATGGCGACCCACCACCACAAAATTGCCACCCAACCACAGCCAAAATTGCGATTCAATCGCCACAACCAAAAAATCGCGACCCAAGAGCCACCATAGCCACCACCACAGCGTCACGGCCTAATGACAACCAAAATCGCCACAACAAAAAATCGCAGCCCTACCATTGCCATTGCAGCATCGCGACCCAACCACCGCATCCAACTACAACATCCAACCACAGCACCCAAACCAACAACCTCCTGTGAAGAAGTTGGGGAAGAAGAGGGAGAGGGGGGAAAAGAGAGAGAGAGAGGCACGAGAGAGAAAGAGACATCAATGAAGTGATAAATGGGAAGAGAACGTGTTTTCATTTTCTAATTTTTGAAAATCATTTTTTAAAATGTCAAAAAGAACACATTTTCAAAAATTTCAAAATGGACACTCAAACCACAAAAATGAAAATGGATTCAAAACTCAAAACTAACACACAAAAAGGATAGCCCCTGAATTGGCCATTTTTTTTATTTTTTTTTTGTAAATTCCCCGTATAACAATTCCCTATTACGCATGTTTGTTTCGTGGAATAAATTTCAGTAAAATCGGTGCCATTGCGACCTCTCCTCCCAAACAGATCCTTACAAATTTTCGTCCCCAAAAATCCCTGAAAATTCATTTTCCTCGCCTGCTACATTTTTGCTGAAGGTAAACTTATGTTCCACGATTTTCTTCGTTAGATATTATTCGTCTCAATGCATAACTTAATGTAATTTAATACGTATATTGATGATTTCAGATGATGATAATGTTTTTTTTTTATTTGGGGATCGGCCATTAGCAGATCTGCTTCTGATGTCGTTCAATTTTAGGTTTAGGGTTTCTTTTGCTCTAGAAATTGAACCCCCGTTTTTGTTTATTATCGAAAAATCTGGTTCATTTTCCTCACTCTCACTTCTTGAAATGAAACATCATTCCAAGATTACCGGCTATAGATATGGGTCCTTGTGATACCCTGGGCGATTCATCTGATTGAAGTGTTCTTTCATAGTTGTAGGATTCTGAAGTTGATTGATTTTTAATGGAGGGCGTTGGAGGTGATGATTCCTCAACAGCAGCGGGAGCACTGAACCAACGTAGACATGAAGTGTCAAAGCTTTTTCAGTACTATTTAGATAAATCTACCCCACATGCTCTTTATCGGTGGATTGGTGCTTCAATTTTAGTGTTTGTTTTTGCTCTGCGGATCTACTATGCTCAAGGGTTCTACATTATTGTGTATGGATTGGGGATCTATATTCTGAATTTGCTCATTGGGTTTTTGTCCCCTCTTGTTGACCCTGAGCTGGAACCTTCGGATGGACCTATGTTGCCGACAAAGGGTTCAGACGAATTCAAGCCTTTCATTCGCCGCCTCCCAGAGTTTAAATTCTGGTATTGTTTGTAGCATCTTTGGATTGTTTTCATTTATTCTGTCACCATGAGGTTTGATATTAATGTCCTGTAGCAATTGTGGTATACTTGTGACCTTTGCTTTGCTACTTAACTTTTTATTGAGATGGCAATGGAGTACAACCACAATGAGGCATTTCCTCACGCAACTGGAGAAGAATCTCAATATTTACTCTTATTTGATTTATTATGCCTCTATTGCCTTTTGTAGTGTGGTAAATCGTCTTAGTAGTCAATGTCTTACAAGTGAGTGTTTTTGTTAACTCTTAAAATCTCACGTTGAATAAAGATGAAAATATAGACTAATTTATAGGACTTTGAGTTACTCCTCTTAATAAGGTTGGCCTTTTAAGATGGAATCTCAAATCTGAACATGGTGTCAGAGCCCATTAAACTCTAACGAGCAATTCGATCCGATTAAGAACTAAAAAAATGAGCACTCGGATTTCAAAATTGGTTTGCTCAAATGAACCACCATCTTGCGGGGTATGTTAAGTGCTAAACTCCCACATCGAATAAAGATGAAAATATAGATCAATTTATAAAAGTTTGGGCTTCTCCTTTTAACAATGTTGACATTTTAAGATGAAATCCTGATTTTAACAGTTTTGTAAATATTCAATGTAAACAGATGCCTTTTGCTTGATTTTCCGCACTTTTTGTATGTAATATTTCATCCTGGCACTTTCTAAAATGTTTCTTTAGAATCTATCGCTGATATCATTAATAATGTATTTCACTAACAGGGAACTCTATTTTATATTTGTGAAATGGCTTATGGAGTCATCTTCTAATGGCATCTTCTGCTGTAGTCATGTTGAATATCTGGATTGAGTTTCTGTGTCCTCTTTTTCCTGGCTAAATATCTCCGTACCTCCCACATATTTTGTTCCATATTGCTATTTCCCTTTCAAATTCTTTGCTCATAGTTATATTATTCACTAATCTTATTATACTAAGCTTATTAAGTGTTCTAGTTTCCTTTGATAAATTTGTATTTACTGGCTACTTCTGTAATGCTTTTGGGTGCTTTCGCCACATATAATCTATAAACTTTCTTTATTGTTGTTTTGTGTATATTAATGTAAATATTTGATATCCTTGTATTCACATTTAAGAAAGCCTATCGAGTGAAGGTCATAATGTTTCTTGTTTATGTGGTGCAGGTATGCCATCACCAAGGCTTTCTGTGTAGCTTTGTTTATGACCTTCTTTTCGGTCTTTGATGTCCCTGTCTTTTGGCCCATATTGTTGTGCTACTGGATTGTTCTTTTTGTACTCACAATGAAGCGCCAAATTATGCATATGATCAAGTACAGATACATCCCATTGAATATTGGAAAGCAGGTGAGCTCCTTTAAATTTCACTAAAGCTGATGCTACGAGTGAAGTCTTTTTTTTGTTGTAGCCTGATAATGGTTGAGGCAGCCATGAACCGTAAAGAACGGATAAAGGATTTATATAGTTGACCCGACACTTATTTGATATAAAACTTCTTGTGGCCTGTCAGTTATTCTTCTTAGTCTGCTTTAAGAGTTTCTCAAGGTCTCGTTTGGGTCTTGGAGTGATTGACAATTTGGGTGGACTTGTTATCTGGATTTCATGAAGTGCAACCAAACACGGGATAAGCTGGATTGGTTATGAGTACCAATTAATCCTGCAAACCATGTAAGTACTGACAACTGTTTTTTATTTTTTGCTTTGTAACAGAAGTACAGTGGGAAAAAAGCTTCTGCTAGCGCCAGCAGCTCCCGAGCAGATTGAAGTTCTCCTGGTTACACTAAATTGAACGCCTAGAATTTAGTTGATGGGAGTCATAGGAGGAAGGGGGCGAATGAGAAACCAGCAGTGGCTTTGCAGATTTTTAGTCGATGAGATTTGTATTTATGTTAACAATATAGAATGGACCTGAATACGGAGTTAGGAGAACTATAGTTCAATTGTGGGCCGTTATTTAATTATGGTTGCCAAATTGTATGCAGGAGAAAAGTGCGGAACACATTTTTTAGACTCTTGGTGGGAGATTAAAGTTGTTCATTTGTGATTTGCCAATCTGTTTCATGCTTTAATGTTGCGTAAGATTGAATCTTGTACTTGATTAGTAGACGATGGTGATCAATCCCTGTCCGCCCCAATTTTTCTTTGTTTTGAATGCTGAACTTATAAGTTTCCATGAGCATCATATGTTTTATTATCTTGCGTGGGTGATTGTTCACCAAAAACACATCTCCATAAAGTCGTAAGATCATGTATGGGATTTACGTCTGTCCAGTGTTGAAGAAGTTGGTGACTTGATGATAAGAATTGGCGACCAAAGACCAGGTGAACGGCGTTCTTAAGTACAACGTAACCATAACAGTCCTACGGTAGTGAAATTCCTTGTCGGGTAAATTTCTATTTGCATGAAAGACATAACGATTTGGACACTATTTTGGAGAGAAGCTAGGTAAAATAAACATGTCTGTGAATCAATTACCAAAGCATGATCAACAAATAAAAAACAAAAAATTAACCAAAGCACGATCAACAAATAAAAAACAAAAAATTAACCAAAGCACGATCAACAAATCAACAACATAAAAATATATTTATCACTGTGATGATGAAATATCGATAATGTGATAGTCTATATGGAATAATGAAATTGAACAGTTCAATTTTTATGAGAGAGGGGGAGAGGAGAAGAGAAAAATGTGAGAAATAATGGATTGTCACATTATCGATGTTCCATAATAAATAGCATTACTCATAGAAATAAAGCTTAATTTTTTGATAGTCAGTTTTAATTTTTTAAGAGACATATTGACATGGCCTAATAACATACTATATCATTCTTCACTCCATTGGACACCTAATTTACCAGATTTTCTATTCAGCGACTTTGCTGTCATTTATTCAATTAATTTCCTCAATTTCAGTAAGCTATATCCATTAAGAAAAGTACAAAAAGTGTTCAATAAGCAATAAACAAAAGAATAAACAAAAAATGTCTTGGTTTTCTAGTATAGACTCTTATTCAATTAAAGGAATTTATACGTATGCCAATAAATTAGGACTTTTGACATTGAAGGAGCAAGAAAGTGAAAAATCATTTGGAACAGTACAAACATGCTTCATTGAAAAATAATGGTAGTGTAAACTTTAAAACTACAAAACTAAGTTGAAGGCACTGCAATTAGTAGATCCTTTTTCTCCTTTTCGTTTTCCCTTTCGAAGTTGTGCCCAGAAATAGCTAAATTCCTTACACATATTGGTCAAGCATCTCATCCACAGAGGCATATTTGACATCGGGATAAAGCTGTGATGCCTCGACACCAAATGATGGTTCAATCTCAAAATTTGTTTGATCTCCCATCAAAAAGACAGAGTGGCAGATTGATAATCGGATATTTAGTGGAGCAGAGGCTTCTGCAAGACACTCAAAAAAAAAAAAAGTGAACTAGTCAGATTAGAGGGCACGTTTGGTATGTACTGCACGATTAAATAGTATAATAGATTAGATGCACCATAACTTGCCATGAAGAGAATTTCGACGAGGGCTAAAGGTAAATTCTAATATGTCACTTACCTTGAATGTTCTTTAGAACTTCCTCCTCAGGAATATATGATCTTTCGAGGGTCTTGCCAATCTTTTTCTCCCACAAGGAAACTAGTTCGTTGTGAGATATCGTGTTGGCAGGAGGTCTAATGTAGAGGATCTTATTCAATGTTCTTGGATCCTCCACCGCTTTGATGGTATAAGTAGCAATATCTTCTTCCTTGTTAAAAACGGCTGTACGAATTTGCCACTGATTAAATAATGCCAAGTAGAAAATTCACTATTTTTGCACAAATTTTTGCACTTTGCAATGGTAAATAAGATATGCTTTATAGAGATCATGGCTCGCCTTTTGTGTTCCCATCCCCAAAAATAACAACTTTATCCCTTGGTGGAGCTGTGGCATTTAGCTGTGCCAGTGTTCTAACGAATACGCCGCTAAAGAAATTGCTCGAGACAAAGGTATAAGGGATTCCTTCTGCCTCAACAAATCGACGAAATTGAGCTTTGTGCCCAAACATCGATTTTGCCGGCTCAATAGCATGGGCACGATCAACATCGCTTCCAAATTCTGAAGGAAAGAATCGCTGGAAGCATTGAATAATTAGAAAATTTGATGGCATATCTGTTGCAAGAAGAAAACCGAAACAAAAGATGATTACCTAGGTAGTTTTCTTTCCCTTTGGTGCTCTGTTTCCCCCTAGTTTTCCAGTTAATGCATGTTTTTACTTTTTAAGAAGACTGATAGAGACTTTAACTAGTTAAGAAGACTGATGAAAAGGCAAATAACGTTATCCATTCATAGAACTTAAGAGTGCCCCCGATTCAAACATCTCATCAAATTGACTTCAATTCAAAAAATGCAATAATATACGTATTGTACATAATTCAATAAACCAAATTTGATAACTTATTTTGGTGATAAGTAATTTTTGTTTACGTTTATCAGAGTTTACCTTAACATTGCCAGCTTCCTCAATAGCAGCTACAATCTTGTCTTGATCACCTAATTGCGCATAACCAAGTGTCGATATTACCACATCCACCTGCTTCATTGCCCTCACCAAGCTCTCATGATTATATAAATCTCCCTACATAAATCCAAAAATCAATATCTGTGTCGTAATTAATTATTTTTTTCCTATCAAATAACAGCTTCTCGGAGCAAGTATAAACTAAATTGCCTCCACATTAATAATTTAAACCTAAAAATAGCTCGTGTTACCATATCATTGGGGAAATTAACTAATTGAGTCATTGAATTGAATAAGGGACAAAGATTAATTGACATTTTTATACATACTGACATGGATGAAGACGACGCCCGATTTTTCGAAGCTCTCAATGAGTTTTGATTTGTCAGGACCTGGATTAGAGAGAGTGGACCCTCGGATTAAAACGAAGGTCGGGTGGCCGGCCTTGGCGCTGGCTTCCACAATGAATTTTCCGATGTACCCTGTACCTCCGATTATCAGAATCTTACTCCTTCCGGTCATTTCCGGTGGTTGCACGGGAGACTGAACAACAGCCGGAAAAATTGTGTGAAGGCTTCGAATTGAGTCAACTGTTTTCAACCGGAGATGCTGATAAGTTGTTTTTGGGTTAAAACGTTGGTCCTTCAACTTTATAAGTTGCTCGAAAATTGTCCATGAATTTTGATTCTCAAAAATTTATAATGCAACTTTGTGGTGACTTCTTTAGTCCTTCCACCAGTTTCCGTCCATTCCCTCGAGGTTTTTCTGGAGGCTGGGTGGGGGATTATATACCATGAATAATGATCATCATACAACGTTGGATTACAACATTGGATTACAACCTCTCACAAGTGAGGTGGGGCACACTATTATTTTAGAATAAATCTACTTGTACAATGATGATTGACAATATTTGTTGGCAATGTTATATGTGGCAAAATCTAGACAATTGATTTAAAAACAGTTTTTGAATTTTTTTGAAATGTGTGAATGTGATGGCGCCAAGTTATGATTGTCAACAAACATTATCAATTATCATTGTACATGTATCATGATTAATTATTTTAATCGCCGGGCTCACATCCCTTGTGAGAGGTTGTAATCCAATGTTGTAACACATGTGTTGTACATATAGCATTGTTCATATCCCATTTATTGTTCTATTTAATTAATTTTTAAATTAAATGGAGGGACAAAAATTTTACGTCCGTTTAATTAGTTTAAATTCCATGAAAAATGTCACATTCAAGGAATTCAATTTATACTTTGACTGTTTGATATGAAAATGAAAATGGAGTTCGAAATCGAAGGTACAACAACTTTAAACTTGTTTTTTGCGAATTTTATGGAAAATGCATTTCTATGGGATACTTAGATTTTTATTTTCCAACTAATATGGCATTGGAAAACATTTCCATCTTTGCCAATCAAACGGACTTTAATAATTGTCGACTTCAGAATCCACCTTAACAAAAAAATAACAATTTTTCACATTTAACATAATTTCATCATTTTGAGCTCTGCATTTTGCAGGGGATTCTTACAACAAATCAGCTTCCAACAATAAAACAACAAACTCTCACAAATTAATTTGATTAATTTAACAAGGTGGAAGATCTTTGGGTGGAGGCAAAATAGAATGATCTGGGCCAGGTCCATCCTCTACAACAAAAGCAACCTTCAAACCCCAGCTGGTATGTAGCTCCAAGTGACAGTGCATGAACCACACTCCTGCATGAATAGAAAATCAATTAATTTGTAAATCAAATTGAATATTTTCTTCATAATTCTAATAAATGTGTTAGACTATGTGGAGTCTGTCATGTTAAGATTTAGGGTTCCATCTTAAAAGGTCAACATCATTAAGAGGAGTAGTTTGTTGATCTATGTTTTCATCTTTATTCAACGTGGGATTCCATCCCTTTACGTCCCCTACAAGATGGTGGCTCGTTTGAGCTGACCAATCTTGAAATCCTTGTACTCAATTTTTTTGAGTCTTAATCGGATCAAATTGCTCGTTAGAGCTTAACAGGCTTTGATATCATTTTAAGATTTAATGTTTCATCTTAAAAGGTCAACCTTACTAAGAGGAGTAATCCAAACCCTTATAAATTGGTTTATGTTTTCATTTTTATTCGATGTGGGATTTCATCCCTTTACGTATCATATTGTATACTTATCCCTTGACTGCTAAGCGTACCTGGATTATCAGCTCTAAACCTTATGGCAGTCCAACCACCAGTGGGGACTCCAACTGTATTTCTTTCAGGAGGATCTACCAAGTTAAACTTTGCAGGGTCTTTCTTAGGATCAAAGTTTCCAACCCCGGTCCCAACAACGAAGAAGTTGTATCCATGAAGATGGAAGGGATGAGATTCGACCGAGAGAAGGTTTGTGTCTTGTAATATCAACTCCACAGTTGAATTGAAAGCGATTTTGCTGAGACGTGGTCGAGTGCTTCGCGAAGTTCGGAGGTTGGCAGTGAGTGGTGCACCGGTGTAGTTAAAAGGCATTGGAGGACGGTCTGGAAAGTCGGTAGTGAACGCCCCTTTTTGGTTAAAGTAGTGAGCTTGTAGAAGGCCTACTCGAGGCATTACAAAGGTAATGTTGTTTAAGGATGCGGTGAGTTGTGTTCCGTTTTGGCAAGTTGGGCATGGATTTATTCCGAGACCGATTGTGTAGAAAAGTTGTCGATCAACTTTAAGCGGGACGTTAGCTGGGAAATTTGGGGAATTGAGGCTCCGGAGCTTGGAATTGTAACTTAGTGCAAATGAAGTGTCGTTGAGTGCAGGCAATTCAGGGAGGCTTGGGAGTACGGTATTTGGGATGCCTTCGTATTGAAGTATAGCTGTGGCAGTTTTGTTGTCTATGGATATAGGTGCATCCATGAAAGACCTTGCAGCCATGAAGTATCGTCCGGGCAGTTTGTTGGTTCGGACGAGGACATTTGTGGTTTGGCCAGGTGCTATTAAGATTGCTTCGGTCATAAAAGGTTTTGTATAAACGGCATCAATTTCTACTACTGTCATGTTGTGTCCGGCGATGGCAAAGAAAAGCTCGTCGTTGAGTGCAGAATTGATGATTCTCAAGAGGTATGTCTTTCCCTGCTTGACTTCTACCGCGTAAGTGTCTGCATAAGAGTTGTTTTTGAAATAAGTAACTTATTTTAATCTTAGACGAACATTCTCTCATGAGTCGAACCTACTTACGTTTCTCAGAACATGGGAATAATGGTCCTGGCTTGCCGTTGATCGTATGTGCATCCGACATTTTCGGAGGCAATCCCAGTTTGTTACCTTGTTTAACAATCTCTTCAACATCATCATTCCACCATTCTCCTGTTTTTTCAACCAAAAATGCAATTTGGAGCCTATTAGGTCTCACAGCGAGTCAGTAGGGACGAAAAATTGTTAAAAAATGGGATTTTTTTCGGAAGACTCACCTAAGATTAAATTAAATTCAGAATCAGGCTGAGGGAAAGGGTACGGTGTCCCTTGTTTAGGCATTATCACAATGGCACCATAGACAGTGGCTCTTAGCCAAAATATATGTGCATGCCACCATAGTGTTCCTCTCTGTCCTGTTACATTAAAATCATAGGTGTAACTGTGTCCCGTCTGAACTGGACATTGTGTTATATAAGCCGGTCCATCTGCCCAGCCATTTCGATATTGCTTTAATCCATGCCTGCAAAGAACATACATTGTACCACGATCACTAGTCGAACATAACATATTTGCATCAGTCAAGTCGAACCTTTCAATGTTTTACTTCGTACCAATGGATTGACATGTTATATCGTGCATAATTAGTAACGTTAATGAGAACTCGATCTCCTTCTCGAGCATAAACTGTTGGCCCGGGGAACATTCCATTTACAGTGACAATAGGCTTGGCATGGCACAATCTGCTGATGTTCTTTACTTGAATCTAAAAATGTGTTTCGAATAGAAAGAAGAAAATTAGGAAGAAAACAATTTTGGGTACATGAAAAATTATTGCATGCGATCTACTCACGTCAAACTGGTATTTTTTTACAGCAGCTTCGACTGGAGTCGAGATGAATCCAATACAGCACACGAAAAGGAAATGAATAGCCGACTGGAAAACGTTTCTTCGCCCCATTATCCCGACCCAAATTCTTGCGTAAATGCTTTTTAGTGTTCGATGGTATAATGATGAAAGCTTTTGAACCCTTTATAGAATTTCGAAAGATGTTTCTTCGTTAGGACAAGCCATCAGTTTGTTAAGGAGAAAGCTAGTTTTGCTGATTAGGTGCACACTGAAGCTTCCAAGCAATATGCTGAAAAAGACTTGAAGTGTATAATAGAATAAAGGAAAGAGGAATAAACGGTGAAAAACTGTATAAATTTATTAGTAAATTTGAGCATGAGAGCTACTCAAAACCAAACAAGATCCTCAGCTCTTTCGTTAAGTAAAAGGTATAATATAGAATTCTATTGGTATGACTTGCAGAATGCTTTTGCTTTTTTTTTTTTCTTTTTAATGTTATATTTTTATATAGTTTCTAACATATGCAGTGGTTGGTTTGATGTTGTTGTGTTAGTTCATGGTCAACGGAAATAAGTGCGTTGACCCTAACATTTATTCTTTGAAGCTTCTTCTAATGACATTTAATCATTGGTATATTATACTCGGTAACAATTGATATAGGATAAAGAAAGAGACATGAGATGTTTGCCTATCATCGTATTTACTCGTCTAGTAATTTATATACCAAGATGCGAAACTATTCTTTCGTGGGGTGTGTTTGATTAGTATGAAAAATATATCCTAAAAAAAGAATATTTTCCTCATTTCGAGGAAAACAAAAACCTATTCCCCCCAAAGAAAAATTTGTTCTTCAAATAGAAGAGGAAAATTAGACATATTTTTGAAAGTAGGAAAATATTTTTCATCGCTAAGAATAACAATCAAACACTTCAAAGTAGGAATTTGAGTGGAAAATTGAAATTTTTCATGGAAAATAAATGCAGTCCAACACACTCTTAACTTCAAAAGAAGTGGTTCTATCTTATATTTTGATTAGGAAAGCGGCGCATACCAAGGATGGCGATAGAACTATGTTAAGTGGTATAAGATGTAAATGAGCCTCACACATGCCCGGCGCTGGAAGATCGGAATGAGAAGTATTAATTGCTTTGAATGAAAATTCCGGTAAATGACTGGGTGCAATAAATTAATTAGCCCATGTTCGTTATAAATTCTTTTTTTAAAAAAAATTCAAATTCATTTTTAAACACAAATTCTCCCAATAAAATTATTTTTGTACGTGAGTCCATAATTTTTATTTTTTTTACTTTTTAATAACATATTCTTCAAAAATAACAATTTTGGAAAAAAAAATTATTCTAAAAAATTCTATATCAAAGTTCAAACGCGTCTTTGGTGATATATTTCTTCTTAGAAATGGATAAAAAAATATTGTTAAAGGTGTGAATTTAATTTTTTATTAATTTATTTTCCTCTGCCTTAAAGCAGAAATTTGTTTATAGTTGTTA